CACATGTGCATGAAGTGTGCATTTACAGCCTGTGTGTGTGTATAAAAAACAGACAGTGTGTAAATATCAGTGAGTGAGTGGGTGTGTATAGATGCTGCTGCTCTCACCTGTACAGATAAATGAAGAAGCAGAGCAGGTGGTAACCCAGTTTGATCATGGCCTCCTTCATGTGGGACTTGAGCTGACCTCGGTTGTGGATCTCAGTGGGGTCAAACACACCCATGTTTCCCATCGGAACCTTTGCGTATCTGCAGGGACAACCAGGGGAGAGAGAGTAAACCCAGTAAGATCAGCGCACCAAGCACAGCAGGAGATGGCTAGATGAAGTGCTGCTCATTGATTGCTTTCAATGGCCTGATTCACCCAGAACTGTTAGAGAAATAGCTACTGCCATAAAAACTGTATAGCTACATTTCTACTGCCTGACAGTGTGTGTTGTCGTACTGCGGCTGTATTAACATACCTATAAATGTTCCACACTGCTACAGGCAGGTTGAGGAGGAAGATGAACCAGTGCATGGAGACCAGCATCAGCATGGTGGAAAGACACTGGCCAACCATCTCTGGAATCACCCACTGCAAACACAATATCACACACAATATCAGAAATCATAGATCAGAATAGTAATGACCTCTCTACGGCATCTATAATGAGCAAATAGCCACTATCATATAATACATACATACTACATATACATACATAGTAAAAAGGCACCACAAATAAAAGGCATCATACACAAAACAATTCTGATGTATGTGTGTGTAAATGTCTCCTCTAAGATATTCAGTTTAGTCACAGAGGGCTAAAGAGATATTCCAAATGAGAAGCTGAAATCAGATTATTTGTTTCTTGAGAAATGACTCGCCGATGAATCCATTATCAGAACAGTTGGGGATTATTATTATATATAAAGGTTGACAACTAATTGATGGACTGATGGTTGCAACAATGTATGACTTACTTTGTTGAGCTTGGAGCAGCAGGCTCTAGCATTGATGTAGTCACATTCTAGATCAGACAGTGTGATAATCTGAGCTTTAAGTCAAAGCGCCACAACCTTACAAATGTTGAACAAAGAAAACTGATCAACTGGACAACCACCAAACCTTTAAGCACTGATCATACACACTGACATTGACACCGACGGAAAACTTCCAGAAAAAGGATACAGGTAGCTGTTTGTGTTTTACACCCAATCTAATTCACCAGATTATTCAGATTTTAGTGTATTTGTTTTACTCCATCTGATACTTGACTGCAAATGAAGAGTCACTTTGATTTATCACGCCGAGAACACCAAAGGGAAGCATTCAAAAGATGTGCCAGCATAGCAAACATGACATTAACAATAAACTATATAATGAGCAATTAATGTATATTTCATATTTTAAAAATAAATTCAATTGTACAACAAATCAATAAAAGGTCCAACCCTAAACTTGAAATGTACAAATCAAAAAGGAAGTTTTTGACAATTTATGAGTTTTGAGTTTTAAGTTTTCAATAGTTGTTAAATATGTTGTAAAAACGTTATCTAGAAAGATGTAAAAGAGGGTAATCTCTAATTTTGACTTGAAATAGTAGGATAAACACTGGTACTAATGAAAGGCTGCATCCTGTCCTAGTATTTGTGTTATTGTGTTATCTGTTGTGGTTTTTACTGTTTTTTCTCTCTTGTACAGTGTTATTATTATATGATATTATATTATTTTATTTCATACTGTTCTTATACTGGTTTTTTTTCTCTATCCACTTTGC